TAAACAATCACAACCAAAATGTCCATTCACTTAGGAGTGAATCAAGGAAATGTGGCAATGGAATGGTGTTTACCTTCAAGGAGAATGAGGCAATACAGATGCATGCCACAACCTAGGTGAACTCTGAAAACAGTCTGTGACTTGAAATTATCCAGGCACTTTGAAGAAGGGTATTTGAGCTGGGGTCCAAGAATCCATGAAATTAGATTGGAGACATTATCTCCCCACACAGCCTTGACCTTGCTCTGCACATTGTTCAAAATGTTTACTGTGCCTGTGAACTAGATCCACTCGCCTTATGCCACTAAAATGTACCGAGAGGGCTCAGAATTCAAAGTGCTCGACTGTAAGCAAGAGGGCTTGAGGTGGACCCCGAGAACCCACATAAACGCTGCGTGAGCAGGGCAGCCTGCCTGTCATTCAATCCCAGCCTTGGATGGTAGAGACTGGGGGTTTCCAGAGCAAGCTGGCTAACAATGCCAGCCATACTGGTGAGGTTAGGGCTTGACTCAGAGACTCTGCCGTGAAGAATAATGTGGAAGGGAAATGGAGGATGATTAGCGACATCAACCCTGAGCCTCTCTGTGCATGTACATGCGCACACATACACACACGTGTGCCAACGTACATGCAAACATGTATGTTGCATATACATGAGAAGAAGAGAAAGCGAAAACAAAATAAATGTACAAGTAATGAAAAGAAAGAGAAAATGGAAGGAAAAGAGGGAAACAGAAGAGATGCAGGATTCAAAGCAGATGAAAGAAATATTTGATAACGGTGATGACTATCGTGATGACGGTGATAATGGTGGTGATGTTGTCTGGTAAAGATGGTGATGGTAATGATTATGGTAATGATGGCTGATGATGATGATGGCAGCTGCTAGTAATGGTGAGGATGGTTGATGATTATAGTGATGATAATGGTCGTGATTAAGATGATGAAGTAGTGAGGCAGACGTAACCGACAGAGGTGGCCATCTCCGGGTCTGCCGTGTAGTGTGTTTGGTTAGAACACTGACTGTTGCAGGTGTCTTGAGTTGGGGGATTCTAATTGAAAACTCTAACTTCAGGCCGTCGCTGGAGTACCTCAAATCTCTTACTGGCTTCCTACCAGGAGCCGCACATAGAGCTGTGGGGACAGGGGTCATTTCTGTCTCTCTGCAGCTTCCATGCCTCACACAGCCTCAGACTGGCCCTTAGCCATCCTCACATTGCCATGGCATCAGAATCTCCCAGAAGGCTGGAGAAAACTGTGCTGGTCCAGACCTTGAGTGCATTGCATGTTATAACAGATGGCAAAGAGCCCTTTGCTCTCAGGGGCTGCTAAAGTTTAAATTAATTGATTAATCTCGTGTGTACGCGTATGCTCGTGTGTATCCAGGTGTATGCGAGGTGGTGCACATCTACTGGTATGCGCGTGCGTGCAAACTACAGGACAGCCTTTCTCTGGCATTACCTATCTTGCCATTTTGAGACAGGCTCTCCCTTGTCAAGCAGGCCAGACTGGCTGGCCAGGGAGTCCCAGGAATCTATGTCTCCCCACCTCCTCAGTACTGGGACTATAAGCATATGACACCAGGCCAGCCTTAAAAAATAAACAAAAAATAAAAATAAACTTGGATTCTGGGGATCAAAACTCAGGACCTCAGTACTTTACTGACTGAGCCCCAACCCCCTACCAGACTTTTATTCAACTCATACAGGCGTTTTAAAATAGTAGAGTAGCATCCTGGCACTGTGTTGAGGCCTATCACCCCAGTTACTGTGGACAACATAGGGGGATTGTGACGTACTAGCTGCTGCCCAGGCCCCATCATTCTTCCGCTGTCAGGCAGCTGTGATTTGGGGCCTCGTCTGGGAGAATTCCTCAAGGATCAAAACTGGCAAATTCTCACTCATTGTCTTATCAGTCGGAACCTTTTTCACTTGAGTAGGGAATTTTCCCTTCACTAAACTGATTCCATGTATGTGCATGCACATAGATACACACATGTATTTTAAAGATGCAAAATTAGGCAGTTCCTTCTTTAAGGACAATTGACGAGGGATGAAAAGGAAGACATTAATTCTAAGAAACATCTTATGCGTGTGTCACAGAGACAGGTATCAGCTCCTGAGAAATGATGTGCTCTGGCAGATCAGTCATGTGCCAGGCTCTGCCATCGGTCAGCTGTGAAGATAGACACTTTTTTCTTTTAAAGAGAATAAATTCACTAGAGCAGAATCAAGGAAAGAGAGAAATGGGCATTTTTATTTCCCTGAAAGAGCTGTGAAGTTTTGGTAATAAATACCCAAGGGGGAGAATCTGGTCAGGTAAGATTGATTCATCCGGGCTGGAAAGATGGCTCAGTGGCTAAGAGCACTGGCCACCCTTCCAGAGGACCTGGGTTCAATTCCCAGCACCCACATGGCAGCTCACAATGGTCTCTAACTCCATTTCTAGGAGATCTAACACCCTCACACCCATGCACATAAAATAAAGTTTTAAAAAAGATTGACTCATCGGGGGTAGCCAGTGACACAGGTTGTCACTGCAGCCCATTTCGCCTGTAGTTGGCCCCTCCTCCTTCACTTCCTCCAGTTCATCCTTCACAGCTGCCATTCTTACACCCCGTCATGGGCGGAGAGAATGGCATGGTCCCATCTCACAGGTGACTCTTGCACAGTTCCAATTCCACTCCACCATTATACACCGGCAAGCGGCTGAGCCGACACCCCCACCCCCAGTCAAGTTAGTTAGACTGCCACGCTTGCATGCATTGTGATACCAAATGACTTCCAAGTTTGGGCCTTAATACAACACAGGCATCTTACAGTTCAGAAAGTCACGTGTTAAAAGTGGGTCAGCTTCTAGAAACGTCCACAGCTATTCTGAGGCTGTATGCTGCTTAGTGTATGGGCCACAGTCAAGTCTACCAGCATCCATCTTTCAGCCTCTCTCTCCTCTCTCTGTCTCTCTCCTTCCTTCCCTCTTCCCTCCCTCCCTTTAACATTTGCTCCCAACGTCACAGCTTCTTTTCCAGTTCTGTCCCCCTCGCTTCTTTCTTTATGACCCTTTGGATGACATCAGACCTCCACAAAGAGCTCAGGACCACCTCTCCATCTCACCCACTCACAAAGCCTGCTCTTGGTCACCCACAGGTTCCAGGGTGACACCATCTGGGAGAGGACGGATACTGATTTGCACATCACTGGCCCTCACCTGCAATGCTCTGTGGCTCCATAAGTATACACCTTGCAGATATACACTGCATCCCAATGCATACACTCTCAGTGAGGATGCTGTGGACCTCAGAGTGCCCAAAACTGGTCCCAGGTGAGGGGATAAAAACCCTTACTCTTCTCCCATGAACCCAGGCACAAGCCACACATGCGTATGAGTCAACGTCTCTACAATATGACAACATGGACGATGGGGTCCTGTGAGTCCAGAGCATCCTCCCCACCCACCCGACTCCTCCACTGTCCTCAGTGCCCACTCCCTGCTTCCTCTGGCTTCTGCCCCAAACTTCAAGTCTGTTTCAGTGTGAAGGTGACTCGGGCGCCTCTCTGGAGAACAGGTGTGTCTTTTTAAAGCACATTTTTGTGATCAAGGAACAAAATGTTAATTAAACAGCAGCAGCATTATCTCTGCTCACACAGTGTGGCTTTACGGGAATCCTTGCCTTGCCGTCCCCGAGGGGAGGTGTGCGGTGGCTTTTGCAAAAACGAAACAAAACAAAAGCAAGCCCGGAGAACAAATATCTTCCACGAGGGTTAGAAGCCCCTTTGACACTTCTTCCCAGGATCTCTGGGCGTAGTGCCATCTCTTCCTTCCTGCTTTTAGTGACAAAGGTAAACTGGGGGGTCAGCTTCCTCCTGCCTTACCAGATGAGAAGGGCTGTGGAAAATCAGTGGGGCTGTGGCATTTCTATAGCCAACAGCTTAGGAAGTGAAAAGTACAATACCTTTTTGTTTTCAAATGTGTGTGTGCTGGCCGGGCAGGGGTGGTGCACACCTTTAATCCCAGCATTGGGAGGCAGAGCCAGGTGGATCTTTGTGAGTTCAAGGCCAGCCTGGTCTACAGAGTGAGATCCAGGACAGGCTCCAAAACTACACAGAGAAACCTTGTCTCGAAAAATCCAAAAACAAACAAACAAACAAACAACCCCCCCCAAAAATGTGTGTGTGCCTGTGTGAGTATGTGTACTACAGGCATACAGGAGCCCACGGAGGCCAGAAGAAGGCATCAGATTCTTAGAACTGGCATTATAGATGGTTATGAACCAGCATGTGAGTGCTGGACACCGAACCCATATCCTATGGAAGAACAGCAGGTGTCTTAACCACTGAGCCATCTCTCTAGCCCCAGCACAGCTCATCTTCCTATAAGGATTATTGATTGGGTCAGCCTGGAAGTATGTGGAAGGGCTGTAGTTCATCTTCTGTAACTCTATGATTTCAGTTCTCCAAAATCACACAGGGAATTAGCAGGGAGGTGAGGCATGCAGCAGGGAGGTGAGGCCGGGTCAGTCATGAAATGGTCACCAACTGCAATGGAGTCACACCTTGCTGTGCCATGTGCCGTGGCCAATGAGCTGACAAGTAGGGGTTCTAAGTCAGGTGTGTGGACCTCCAAAGCCAGACCCTTGGGATTCCCACCCCCTTGCTTGTTCTTATCTGCTGCAAAGCCATGCCCAGCCTGCCATGTATATTTAGAGATGCTGTGAAGCCAGGGAGAAGCCAGCCATCCTTGAGTTAGAACGGCCTGAATTAGATCCTCTCCAGAACTCAGAGGAGAACAAACTGATGACCTCTAGATTCTGGCTCTAACACCATAGGGCAAGCAGCGTCCCATGTGAAAGCACCAGCCTGGGCCCAGGGTTTCTGCCACCCTGGGGAATAAATATGTGAGCTTTCAAGGAAAACCTGTGGTCCAACCCTGCTCTGCTCACTGTAAATAGAATCAGAGATGACGTCACACTCCGGCAGAGCAGTCTTCCCCCCAGCACTGACCTTCATCATAGTGTTGAACCACGTGAGTGGACACCGTCACTGGGCTCCCATTCTGAACACACCCATTGTCTGATATCACCTGCAACAGAACATATGGTTTTGGTGGTCAGGTCTTGGGGGAACGCTCACGGGAGAGCCTCAAGGCTGCAGGAGCATCTTCCAACATCATACTTAAAAGCTGTGTTTGTAGAAACAGCCAGCTCTCCATCCAGCCTTGGAGTAGCAACATGACTCACTCTGGCTGGATTCCCATCATCATAAGAGCACTCCTGGGTTCACACAGGCAGGCAAGTCCCACAACACACATGGGATGTCGAGGCCCAAAAGGTCCACTGTCTAATAAGGAACCAAGCAAGAGTCTAGCATGTCAATCAGTGGCCTGCCAGGCTAAATTCACCTGTGTGGCCACACAGATGCAACCATTAGCCAGTCCTTTAGTGAACACACCTGTCAAATATAGGAAGTTCACTCTGTGAGTGTATGTGTGTGTGTTTATGTATGTATGTGGATGCACATGCATGTGTGTGCACACTTGTGGATAGGACAACTTCAGAGGGTGTTCCACTAGTCACATCCACCTATTTTGAGACAGTGCCTTGGAGCTCACCAAGTAATCTACAAGTCCCATGGATCTGCCTTTTCCCACCTCCTCAGAATTGCTATATACAAGTCTGGCTTTTCCTTTCTTTCTTTCTCTTTCTCTTTCTTTCTCTTCTTTCCTTCCTCCCTTTTTAATGTGGGCTTCAGGAATCGAACCCAAGTCCTTGTGTTTGTAAGGCAAACATGTTACCCACTGATCTAACTCCCTAGCCCCTTGGCCTCAGCTCTTGCCAGGCACTTTGAGGAGAGAGCCCTGTGAACTCTCCACCTGCGCTGTATTGCCATTATCAAGGAGCTTTGAGAGCACTCCCGTCCACTCTGATTTCCAAATAATTTTGGGTTAAAAAGTTCTATGGAGAAAGTCAGACACTGTAATTTCAGACTTTTCCCGGAGGTCAGTCTTGAACCACTGAAATACCCCCAGGGTTGCCAACCTCAGTACTATGGGTATTTGGGCTAGGGAATTCTTGGCTGTGTGTGTGTGTGTGTGTGTGTGTGTGTGTGTGTGTGTGTGTGTGTGTGTCCTGTGCACTGTAGGACAGTGGGTGGCAATTGTGGCTTCTATGCACTAGATGTCGGAAAAGTCCCCTTCCTTAGTTGACTATCTAAAACATCTCCAAATACTGTCCGGTGTCCCCAAGGGGAGCACTGAGAAACAAGACTGCATTTGGAAACCGACCTTGGAGAAGCTACTAAATCAGCTCCCTGGCCAGCACCTGGAAGTTGTTGAAGACACAGGCTTCATAGATCACCATTTCTTCCAATTGCTCATCTTACATGGAGTCTCAGAGTCTGCATTTTGTGGTGGAGGTGTACTCATAACATGCCCATGTGTAGTGGGTAGCTGTTCCAGCTTTGACCTGGAAGTACTACCCCTATTGAGGCTTCGGTAACTGTCACGCCTACAAGGTGGGGCCAAGACAGGAGGAGCCCTTAAGACCTGAGATCCGGAAGTGCCGACTCTCTTGGTTCCTGGATCCTGGATGCTGGAGGTAGATCGTGCAGAGTTTTCTGGAGAACACTGCTGGACTGCGCTACACCTTTCCTGGACCCTGTAACCTATCCCTTCACTTGTAAGTTGCCCCACAAAATAAACCTCCCTTTTAACTACGTGGAGTTACCTTAATACTACAGCCAATACCCATGTGTGTGCATGCGGAGGTCAGAGGTCACATTGGGATCCTCGCTGCCATACCCAACCTTTTCCATGGGTGCTGGATCAGAACTCAGGTGCACTGAGCACCCCCCGCCACGCCACACATACAAATAGAACCTGCATTTTTCACCAGCTCCTTGGTAGACTCTAGGACTTCAACTACCACTGACCAACAGTGAGAGCGTCGGCCCTCACACCCCATCTCGTCAGGGAGCCCTTGTAGACAGAGTAGCGCCCTCTAGACTACTTTCTGGTGTCAGTGTGCCAGCGATTAAGCATGTATTACCTTGTAAGCGTTTGCTTCCGGTTCCTTCTCCTGGACTTCGGTTCTTAGTGGGACGCTCATTTGGTTGCCCATTGTTCCTCCAATAGAGAAAAAGGAGAAAGAAATCATTGGAATGAAACCAAAGCAAAAGGTTTACTGCCACCTACTGGCAGATATAAGCATAGCAGAAACAAATTCCTTAAGCCTTCGGGGCTAGGTTCAAAGGACCGAAGATTGAAGGGAGCATGGTTGGAAACGAACATCTACTAACAGTTGGCAGGAGGGTGGCAAGGCTTCCAGGGCCCAGCAGTGCTGTGACTAACAAAGCAAGAATGATAGGTGTGCCTGCCGGGTCCGGAGAGCTCACACCGAGGCTGCAGATAGCTCTAGGTGAATGCAGCGGAACACGGGATTGCGAAGTGGGCTCTAGAGTTTACACTCTGCTCCTGCTCCCCACACACTGAGAAACTTGACTCTGGACCAGTTCCTAAGCCTGCATGAGCCCCAGAACCCTCATCTACACAATGAGGATAATGAAGTGCTTTTACTGGGATGTGCCTGATGGCTCAGGCTATGGAATGCTTTCTTTTCTTCCTCTTTTTTATGTGTGTGAGCATTTTGTTCACATGTATGTATGTGCATCCTGTGTATGCCTGGTGCCCAAGGAGAGCAGCAGAGGGTATTGAACCCCCTGGAGCTGAGGTTATGGACAGTTGTGAACTGCCATGTGGGAACTGGGAACCAAACCCGGGTCTTCTACAAGAACCAGCAAGTGCTCTTAACTGCTGAGTAACTGCTCCATCTCTAAACACTTTTTAAAGTGCATATTCAGGTTTCTTCTTTGGAAAACATTTTATTTGTCTCACTAGCTCATTTATAGATTGTCAGTATTTTTATGTGCGAGTTTCTTTTTGTGTTTAATTTGTGCAAAAAAAATTTTTTTCGAGACAGGGTCCCTCTGTGTAGCGTCCTGGAACTCACTCTGTAGCCCAGGCTGGCCTCGAACTCACAGAGATCCTCCTGTGTCTGCCTCCTGAGTGCTGGGATTAAAGGTGTGTGCCACCACCACCTGGCACAAATTTTTATATATTCTGGATATTAACCATCTGTCTGGGTATAGCTGGTAAAGGTTTTTGTTCCATTCCGTACAGGCTGTTTGTGTGCTCTGATGACGGTTCCCTTGGGTAAGCAGTGACTTTTAAACTTCATGTAGCCTTATTTGGTAATTCCAGGGGCTGTTTCCTGGGCTACTGGAGCCTAGTTCAGGAAGTTCTTGCCTGTAGCAAGGAAATAGACAGGGAGCTACTGGAAGTAGATGCATTTGAGGGGTGACAGGACTGGGGGGTGGGGAGAAGGGAAGGCAGGAGAATTAACAACAAAAAACCAGTTGTTTGATGATGCCATACTGAAACCTAATACATTTATGCTAATTAAAAATGGAATTAATTAATTAAGGACATTAGGCCCCATCTCCAGTGATTACTGTGAGAATTAATCGAGTTAATATATTCCAGGTGCTCCACACAGGGCCTGACACATGATGGTGCCACTCAAATGCTAGCTACAAACTGGATCATCTTTGTTATTGTCCTTGCTAGTTCAGGGCAGTGTCCCTCAGAGTTCCCTAGTGATGAGACTCCACTGAGGAATCTATTTGGCTCCCAACCATGAGACCCGTGAAAAGATAAGTATCTGTCATTAAGGCTCTTCACTCCTGTCTGGGGTATTTTTGTTTTTGCAGCCTGAGCAGACTAAAGGGTTTGGGGGATGGCTCTGGAGGTAAAATGCTTGCCACACAGGCATGAGGCCTGAGTTCAACCTCCAGTGCTTCCGAATGTAGCCAGCTGCAGTGGTGTGCACCCCTAATGCCAGCACTGAGGACGGAGAGAAAGGCATATACCTGTGCTCACCAATCAGCCTGTCTAGCCAGCTTTGTGAGCTCCAGACCAGTGAGAAACCCTGTCTCAAAAAACTCTCAGAGGACCTTGGTTTAATTCCTAGCACCCACATGGTGGCTCACAGCTGTCTATAACTCCAGTCCCATGGGATCAGACACCCTTTCCTAGCCTCTGTGGGCACCAGGCACACATGGTATACAGGAAAACAAAACAAAACAAGATTCAGAGGATCTAAAAAATGACCCTTGAGATTGTCTACACACACACACACACACACACACACACACACACACACACGATCATAAAGGCTCCATGCAGGACTTGACCTCTACAGGACTCAGGTGCATAAATTAAAAATGTCAGTTATTACCAACGTCACAAACATTGCTGGTGCATGCTAGCTGCCATGAATATCCATTTCTTGTCATGATGCCTTGAGCCCAGCCGCTCTGGGTTTTGATTCATGCGAATGTGCCACTCTGAGTGCTGCTAAGGAACACCTCTTATTGGACAGAGGGCTGTACCTTTGCCCCTCATTTCAGCTGTGGATTAGCTGTGACCCCTGCTCCTGGGATGGGGATAAATGTACACACCATTCAAGTCTGCCATAGCAAAAGAATATTTCTGAGAACTTCCTCCCAGCAGGCAGCTAAATGACTCTCGGGTACAAGGGGAGGGCCTGGAAGGGTGGAATGGTGACAGAATTAGTCACCCAGCAAACAAGAAATCACCTTTGATCAATGCAGTGGAATGCAGACAAACCACAAGCCACCCACCACTCCACGGAGAGTGCTGCCAACATGGCCAGGCTGGCATATTGGGCAGCACCAGGCTCTCTCCCAGCTCCCAAAGCAAGGTCCGTATTGCTGGCGAATCATGAGAGTAGACCCACTGTGTTCAGCCCACCATCCAGATCTACCTTACTGGGTGCCTAGCACAGTGCTGGGGTTCGGTGGCCACCCTCAGGGGACCATGCACAGTAGTGCAGGTTGCTTCCTGTACGGGGGCTCAGGACAGAAATCCTCCCTCCCTGAACTCCTCCCCCCAGCCCTGCATGGGATACCTGGAGTCCAGGGGAAGGGCTTCTTGCTGGGTGTCTAGGAACGTTTGGTGACACTTGTACTGCTTCTGTGATACACCATTGCTTTGCATATAGAGTGACTGGTTCTAGAAAGTCGGCAGCTTACTGGCTCACTCTCTCTCTCCCTGTCTCTCTCTCCCCTCAGCATTGGGAATTTGAACCCAGGGCCTCAAGCATGTTAGGCAAGCTCTCTACCACTGAGCTACATCCTAGCCCCCAGTTTATTTTTAGAGAGAGAATCTCACTAGGTTGCCCAGGTTACCCTTGGGATTATTCTGTAACCCAGACAGGCCTTGAACTTGCAACCCCGCTGCATTAAACATCCCAGAGTAGCTGAGAGAACAGGCCTGTACCACCAGGCCCAGGTTTGATTTTTTTTCTTGTTCTCAGGACTAAACTGAACATCCTTAAATGAAGGACAGGGCGGTGCCATGGGAAGCATTTGGTGCACCGCGCAGGGCCAGCACCAGCTTACATGGGTGCCCATGCATGCAGATGTCCTTCTTAGAGCCCGGGCGGCCACAACGTGAGTGGAGAGGGGAGTGTCTCCCTGCAGTTCGCTGCGGGTGTCTGCTCGCCTCACACAGCCTGGCCCTGGTTCCGGTGTGTGTTTCCCTTCCAAAGGTTCTCGTTCCCTGTTCTGTAGAAGAGACCGTTCTGCAGTCCCTCCCCAGAAGCATGTGATCACCAAGAAGACCGTCCCTGGTCTGTCCTTCCTGCATTCTTCCAGGCCTCACTCCCTGCTTGTTGGGTAAATGGAGAAGGGAGAAGAAAGCTACAGAGAGGGCTAGACGGGGTTCGAACCCAGGTCTGTGAGAACTCAGCAGACTTCAGCCACTTGACTGCGCAGGGTTGGGTTGAAGTATGGAAGCCCCTGTCCCTGGCAGGTGCTGTGCAGGACACCAGCCGGAGCACAGGGAGCGGGAGGGAGGTGGCCTCCTGAGACCTGTCTGTCCCTCTCCCCTGTGCCTCTAGACACAATCCAGCCAGGATCAGCCTTGGCACACCCACTGCTTCCTAGAGTACATACCCTCCTCCTTAAAGAGAACACACAACCAGCAAGCCTGGCTCCGTGGTGCATGCCTGTAAGCCACGGTAGGAGGATTCCGAGTTTGGAAGCAGCCTGGGCTTCATAGTGAGACTCTGTCAAATCACTCAAACCAAACCAGATATACTTCTGGAGCTTTCAGATTCTTTCATACAAATAAAGTAGAAAAGAATTTTCTGTGGCTCAGAGCGTGGTTCTCCCTTCCACTCCACCTCCGCTGAAGCCGCTGTAGTACACACACCTTCTCTCGTTGGGGAAGCAAAATACGCGCCCCAGGGCTGAGGGCGGCCGCTCAGACCCCAGCGGGCTTGGAACCAGGGTGAGCCAGTGAGGTGGCTTCAGGAAAGGCGAGAATCCCAGGCATCAGGAGGAACCAGGCTTAACGATTTTCTTTTCTTTTCGGAGGAAGCGTCTCAGGCTACAGCGTGGGCTGGGATACACTGTGTGACTCAGCCTGGCTTCCAGCTCACTTCGATCTGCCCGCCTCAGCCTCCCAAGTGTTAGGTAGGCCACAGGTGTGAGCCTTCTTCCTGTTTGTTTTTTCTGTAGTGCTGGCGATGGAACCCAGGGTCTCATGTTTGCTAGGCAAGTTTCCTACCTCTAAGCTACATCCCTAACACCTTTAGCACAGTTTTTAAAAAATCAGAATTAATGCTGTCACAGATCTGATTTTTACTGAGTTGAGATTTTTCTGAGTCAACGATGCTTTCACATTAATTTTCACTTTGTGAATTTTGTCTTCAAGTGTAATTGATCTTTTTGTACTTTTTTATTGGTTTCCATTTTTAAAAGTATGTATTTATTTTAATTTTATGTGCATGAGTGTTGGCCTGTGTGTGTGTGTGTGTGTGTGTGTGTGTGTGTGTATACATGCAGTGCTCACAGAGGCCAGAAGAAGGCATCATATCGTAGAGATAATTGTGAGGGGTCAGATGGGTGCTGCCAACAGAACCCAGGTCCTCTGCAAGAGCAACAAGTGTTCTGAACTGCTGGGCCACCTCTCCAGCCCTTATTTATTTATTTATTTATTTACTTATAAGATGCTCTCACTATATTCTACTGGTTGGCCTA